CAATGGAGAGGGCAATGCTCGGAGTTTCTCTGCGAGATCGCGTTAGGAACGATGCGATCCGCAGCAGAACCAAAGTGACCGACATTGCCCGAAGAATTGCAAACCTTAAGTGGCGATGGGCCGGCCATATTGCCCGCAGAACGGACGGCCGATGGGGCCGAAAAGTTCTGGAGTGGCGGCCACGGATAGGTCGTCGCAGCGTAGGTAGGCCTCCCGCAAGATGGACCGATGACCTGGTCAAGGTTGCGGGAGTGCACTGGATGCGGGCGGCACAGGACCGGGCATCGTGGCAATCGATGGGGGAGGCCTACGTTCAGCAGTGGACGACCTAAGGCTGTTAATGATGATGATGATGATGATGAGTCTTTATATTTTGGACATTAATTATTGTTTTTTTTTCTTTTTTCAAAGACAAATAAGATGATAGTAATATAGTTTTCACTAGCTGTTGCCCGCGACATCGTCCACGCAATATTGAGATATAAAGAAGCATATAATATGTCCGTCTATGTCATTTATCCTTCAATGAAAGTCCGGTCGAAATTGGCCCAGCCGTTTCGGAGATTGCCTGAAAAAAAACGCGGCTTGCGGACAGACAGACAAAATTTTGTTAATGCTATTTTCGTTACTAGTAACGCATATACATTAACTACTTTCACATCCACTACAGACACTCTCATTTTATTATATGTATAGATTAAGTTGCTTTTCACTTGTAAATGTAACAAATAAGTTTGAAGACTTTATGCCTATTTTCTCTAACTCCATCAAAAGAGCTTTTTGTTGAAGTGGATCATTCGAGATTAATTTTTCTAAGTTGGGTCAAGACGTATGAAAGGTTTATTTTATTGAAACTAAAGGAATATTATATTAAATAAGCCTTTGGTTTAAAAATAAAATAAATCCTTTACATTTTGGTATAGAAAGCCTTCGAAGCTAAAGAAGAAATGTTTCAATGTTCATATTAATTTGATTTAAAATTTATTTTAAACTAGCTGTTGCTTGCGGCTTCGCTTGAAATTAAAATATGTAGCCTATGTTACTCCCAGATAAATTACCTTTCTAACGGTGAAGGAATTTTTAAAATTGGCCCAGTAGTTTTTGAGTTATTTCAATACATACAAAAATACAAATCTTTCCTTTGTAGTTAATCTATACTAGAATTACATCTTTATAATACATACTAAGAATTTAAAGTTAAAAATACAATTAATAACGATAGCCGGAAAATAAATACAAATTAGCTTAATAACATTTTGATAAATATTTGCAATTAAATTTCGATATAACCATTCCACCGTTCATATCCAATTTTGATTTAAATCGAATTTTAATCTAACTAAAATATAAAAAAACTATCTGTAGTTCGCGACTTCGCTCGCGTGATATCAAAAAAAATATAACCTATGTTACTCGTTGATAACGTAGCTTTTTATGATGAAAGAATGATTGAAATCGGGCGAGTAGTATGTGCTATGTCAAAACATACAGAAAAACAAATCTTTCCTCTTTATAATATTAGTATAGATGTAAATAAACATATGAACTAAAATATAAAATCCCATATTGCCAGAGTATAAAGTTTCACGATTTCTTTTATTTTACCCGAAGTTGTAAAAAGAAAAATGAGATCTGTATTTACGGTTGAAACAGATCCGTCACTAGACAAGTCTATTTTATGGTCCATAGCAACGTAAAGTGGTCAGGTTAAGAGATAAATTTAAAGGCGGGAATACACATGGGTAAACGCTTACTGGATAGATTTTGTTACAGCTAAAAGTAAGTTGTTGGTAAAGGTACGAAGTTTGTCATTGTACTGGCATGTGCATACGCATTACGCCAGTACCAGGATCATGACAGTAGCTACTCCATTTGAATGCCAACTGTATTCCTACCCTTAAAATCATCCGTTGAAACTGGCGCACACCTTTGACTAAACTATAGCCCAACTGTTATGCGACTGTCGATTGTTTCGCAGCCAATTCAACTGTTTAGTTGCCCAATTAAAATCAAATAGTGTGTGCACCTTCATATAAGCCTTAGAAATCTTTTGACAGTGGTAGAGCCCGCTTTAACATCTTCGCACGAAAGGGCCGGCTCGCCCAGTGTGGTACCACGACCACACAGAAAACAGGCGTGTAGTGGAAGCAATTCTACGTTTTGTCGGATGAGTGTAGTGCTGGAGGCCTTATTATAGTCCCTTTATCTTTCCACCCTTTTCTTAAGAGGAAAGGATGGAAAGGAAAAGTGGATTTGATGGTGGACAGGACGCATGTGAAGGGGAAATGTCCTCTTGATGTGCGTCTCCTCCTCCGTCAATTAAGGGTAGGCAACGCATCTACAATTGCGGATGTTTATGGGTAGCGGTCGATTTCCATTTTAGTGGATTCAGGTGGCCGCTTGCTCGTTTGCCAGCGTTATATTATTAACAAAAAAAATCAAAGAGAGACTAAACAGTTGTGCGGTAGATTAGTTTCAGGTGTGCGCTTTAAGCATATCTCTAGAATAATGAATTGTAACGTAAAGGTTCCGTATACATACTACCTTACTAAAATATAGGCGCTGTTCTTACTATTCCAAACGTAAGCAACCATTAGAAATGAAAATAGCATAATTTCACCATAAATTTTAATAAACTTTAAATCAGCATTATTTTGGTAGTGGCAAAAATCTTATCAGTACCTTTCCAGGAATCGTAGAACTTATCAGCCTCCTGCGAAATTTTATAGGCTCGATACTTTCTGAGATTTACGACATAACTGGGTTTTTATTAGGCGATCCAAGCTTGATTTTGCCAATAAAAGTGGTACATTTTGCCACCGAGATTCATTTACATTTTCAAGAAAGTCTTGTGTTTATGTTTTAGTTTTCTTTATTATAATCATCTACTGGCATTTGGTATTTAATTGTAAAATTAAAAAAAAAAACAATTTCCCTAAAGTTATATTTATACAGAATTTTTATACCATATGGGTATGATACATATTTATGGTAAAATATGAATTTCAGACGTCCATAATACCGATCAGCGGCGGTTAGAATTAAAACACGTGTTTAAACACTGTCTAACTATTTTTGGGATAATACAAATAATTTCCAAGCGGGTTTACAAAATTAACAAGTTTTTCTCTAGGGAAATAATAACTGAAGAAAATAAACACATGAAAATTCCTTTGTTTTGGTAAACATTTTTGGTTACATTATTCCGGAAACATGTTTGTACGTCTGTACGAAAGCAGAAAGTGTCTAATATTTAAATAACAAGTGTCTGTTTACATTGTTTATCCTTCACAAAACCAACAAGTTAAAGCCTTTTCTTAAACAAATATTTTATGCCAACAAAAGGGTGACCCTTGTCAAATGTTTATAAACATCCTTGCGGGTGAAAATTACAGTCCTATCTTAAATCATAATTAAATTAAAAAAATTTCTACATTTAACATCATTTTTTGGTAAATTACAGTTTCGAAAAGACTTTTTAATCTATTCAACTATCACCCCTGACAATTTATAATAGCTAAAATTTATTCTAGAATGATTGCAGGTGCATTAATTTCGTTTATCAATTAATGTTACTACAACAATGCGGTACAGACTACCTAATCGTATTATTTTAAATTACTATTGAATGGCGTTTTAGAAACCGACCTTATGAAGTTTTGCTCGTTAAATTACTTTTCATTTATCGCCATTAATTCCATGATTGTTTTCAAACTTTTCTCGAAACGCAAAACGACTGTGTGAATTTACTTGACTTTTCTAACTTCATTCAAAGTTACTTTTCTCGATTCCTTTATCAACAAAATCTTGATCTGTTCAATGTAAGATTTAAAATGACATTTATCACATTGGAATTCTCGACGTTAAAAGTTTTCTCAAAACATAACTTATCACTTTTGAACCATTCCTTTTGCAAAAGACTATTTTAGGTGAAATGATTTTCTGTCTGAACTGTTTATTATGTAGATTGAGAAGTTTATATGTAGAATACAGTCTGAAAGAACACATAGATTTACTTTTTTTCGATTGAAGGCGGACGTATTCGCAGGCAAAAGCTGGTAGTTTCAACAACATTATTATATTGCCTACACTTGTAACATTTGTGTTAATGCTTTTGGCCTTTTTAGACTTTTTTTTACAATGCATTACGGAAATAACAAAGTGTAAAGTAATGTAAAAGTTTTATAATGTATTACAAACAAGCAAACATTTCTCAAACTTAGCAGTTCCCTTATCTTTATCGACACAGACTTAAGTTCTAAGTCATTAAGTAGTAAAGTATATTTTTGGTTGTTACAAAAATAGATATAATGTGGTAAGTTGTTATTTCGTTAAATTTCATTCATAGTAAAATTCAACACTATACGGACACAATATATGCTTGTTTAATTGGAAACGTGTGAGGTCAGTATATTAACAAGCTTTATGTGCTCACCGATCTATAGATTGTCGATGATTTGCGAGTTTTTAATTGTTTATGCGTAAAATCCAATTCAGTATGATAAATGCTCATAAAGATTCAACACATACGTTACAAAATAAGGTCTGAAATACACGATAGCCAAAAATTTTGGATCTGTCTGTAAGAGCGGGCGCATCTTTGACTAAACTATCGCACTACCGTTTTGCGATTGTCGATTGTTTCGCAGCCAATACAACTGATTGGTTTCACAATTAAAAATCGAGTAGTATGCTTACCTCTCAAGCTCAAATCAAAGCATGTGACTAAATAATCGCACGACTGTTTAGTTATGCGATCATTTAGTCAGATACTTTGATCATTTAGTGCGTGCGCTCTTAGTTATCAGTTCTGGTTGTCAACTCTATTGGTTGGTTTCTTTTATAAATTTCTACGTTAAGGAGACTTTAACTCTCTTTAGTTTAACGTTTCCGTTGTAAATACTACAAATATGTAAGTATACGTCAGTTATTTAAAAGTAATACTTTTAGATCGGAATGTTGAGTACATTGGGTAGAATACTTCAAATATTGACACTTACCAACAACAACCAGATAAACTCTTCGCACTAGAGGAGGATGGGTAGAGATTTGACATTCATAGAATCCTTCGTCTCGCTCACTCACGTACTGTATAAGCAATCTCCAGTTGTTTGGTTGCTCGAAAGCGAGAGAATATCTAGAATCAGCTGAGTACGTATGACGGCCGAACGATAGAAGATGGATCTCTTCTCCACGTCTTCTAACCCAAGATATCTGAAACAATTATTTCTTATTAATATCATGGATGAAGAGATAAAGTTAAGAAACTGTATATTAGAAGTATATAAGTTTGAAAGTAGCAAAAGTTTAGAGTAGATTGATTGTGTGAAAGAGGATATGCTTAAGAAGGAAATAAATTCAGATATGATGGCTGATAGAAATGTATGAAGCAGTGCATACTGCGCCGAACCTTTGTAGGGATAAGGGCAAGTAGATGTTGAACATCATGAATGAAGGAATAATTTCAATCTGCATGTCCTGGGTTCGATTCCCGCCGTACCAATGAATTTCGAATTTCATATGGACGTAATATACCTGACGTTCTTACGGTGAAGGAAACATGGTGATGTCTGCACATATCAGCGAAGAAAATTAAAGAAATGTGTGAAATCAACCCTCACTCGTGGCACTGCTGAGCTGATTGATTTTTGTTATAACATATGTCAAAAACGTCTGCATGAACACTGTCTTATTACTTTTAATTCTATAAGGTCAGAGTCTGCGACAGTTGGTTAGGGGAAATAATCAAAACTCACCGTTTTATCCCCCAAATCATGGACTCTGCAATGTAGGTGTACACGGCTACCCAACTGAGCAGTTACATTATTGGTGGATGCATCGTCTTCGAAGAAAGGAAGGGGTTCAGATGTTGTGGACACTTCATCTTCTCCATCTTCATATACCTCCGTGAACACTTCATGCCAAAAGGGACCATTGATGATTTTCTCACCGGTCTTGAAGTCTATAAAAACATACAGAGTTACCATTTTTAATCTTTATTAATTTATCTGTCACCTTTTAAGCTTCTTAAGGTGTATTTTATCTCTAACCATTCCAAAGTAGTTTAGATGTAACCAGGATTTGTTAAGAAAAGTAATTTGCAAAATGGATATTCTAAGGTACGGTAACAAAATAGCGCTATATTCCTTACAAAAGAAGCACTCTCAAACAATCTCAACGTTGTATAAGGAGATACATTCTTACGTTAAAATGCCTGTCTCCTTTGAATGGAGATTTCCTTTATTGCTTTTAACATTTTCTATCCTTGAAATTAGTCACTATCTCATTCCAATAGCCATGTAGATTATACTTTTAATAGTACTGGTATACAATATTCAACTTTTCCCCTTATCCTACTTCCGTAGGGTCGGTGCCAAGGGTTTTCGTCCGACACATAACGTACATCATCTGTCATCACTCTCTTCTTGATCATGTCACCTTTCATGCAATCCATTCTTTTCTAAGTCTACCTCAGTGGACGAAGTCCACAGCATGGTGTTAAAGTCCTAATAATAAATTGCCAATTTTATTGTTGGAACTTTTTATTGTTGTTTATTATTTTCCATTTTCTTATTTCGTATGTTTTTTAAACTTACATGGTTTCGATATTTTGTATAAGGTATAATGGGAGTGTACGTGTTCTAAGAACCAAAGTCCCTATAAAAAAAGAAAAAAATTCTACCTCTACCGTGGTACATTACACTAATAACGTTTTTCTTATAACAAGGACAAACAACAAACGGTAAACAAAGGAAAACACGAAAATATCTAAGCTTTTGAGGTCACAATTAGAGAAAGGGTACGTAGAATTACCTGGAATTTGTGGAGCCACGCATAGTGTCCTGGTCATAAGGGAGCACAGTATTATCACTTCAACCGGCGTCATGTTGTCCGTCCACAATTTGGAGCCATAGAATTCATCTGTTCAGGCGCCTTACAATCTACGACAAACAATTTTATTAATAAAATAAACCGAATTAAACTAAACTTAAATGGAAATCAGATACCCTAAAATGTTCATCTTGAACAGGTTAGTTGAAGTACCGAGTGAATCTCTAGCTCCCGTAAACATTGCCTCATGTCTTAACATGATAAACATCAAAACCACTGACTTATGCAGATAAATATTTATTTACAACTACCCTGCCATTCGAATGACACTTATTTCTTAAATGTAAAACAATTCTAAACTTCACATCATTATTTACTAGCATAAATATATCATGTGTTTTTTCCTGTATTGTAAAATAAATGTGAACACTATAATTGTCGAATGTGGTATAATATGAATCGAAATTGTTGGCATCAGCTGAAAAAAGTTGTGGAAATTTTATAAGCGCAGTTTTCGTATACCCTCAGGAATATTAAGCGGGCGAAAGATACGTGGAATAAAGGTCCAAATGGGACAGACAACAAATCGAATTGGAAGAGGTTTTTGTTTTAAATTCTTTGCGTACAAGGCATTACAACGTGTTGAAAATTTTATATTGTTCTTTGTTCTTTTAAATACATGGTATTTTTATAAAATAGTACACTTATGGTACTTCCTGTATATTTCGGGCCACGTATGAAAGACTTAGTTTAAAATAAAATGTCACTAGAGTATTTACAAAACAATCGAACTAAAACATCGATATTTCATAACAACTGAATTCAATTCACACGATGTGTTTGAAGTCCGCATCGATTAAAGCACTTTAATCGATTTAAACAGGTCTCTGTAGTCTATGGCAACACAGATCAACTGACGTCACAAGTAACTCACTAAGCATACAGGACTTATACAGTCTTACAAATAAACGCGGTGTAAAGATAAACTTAGGAATAAACTGTGTATATGCAAATGTTAGTAAAAATTTTGCTTATACTCAGTTTATTCCTAAGTTTAACTTTATACCGCGTTTGTTTGTAAGGCTGATAGACGTCAAATGTGGTCCAACAATTCCACCTTATAATAGCCGGTTTCCCAGCTACGTTTAACCATTCGTTAGTGTTCGGTTCGATAACTCAATGTAATGCGTTTACGAGCTACCTAACTTGAGTTTTACTCCGAAGAAACATAAGTCAACCTAACACTAGACTTACTAATATTATCAATGCTAAAGTTTAGATGGATGGATGACTTTTTGTTAGATTTTATAACTTAAACAACTAAAAGGATCTTAATAAAATTAGCATAAATGAAGAGAATAGTTTGGAGGAACAAATAGACTACTTACTTTTCTTTTATTCAATCCCACGCAGAAGGAGCTGCCAAAAGCTAATCATACTTCATACTAATGTTATAAATGCGAAAGTTTAGATGGATGGATGCATGTTTGTTAGAGTGTATAGCTTAACAGCAAAACGGATCTGTCTTGAAGAACACATAGGCTATTTGCTTTTGTTTTATTTGAATTCTACGCAGACGGAGACGCGGGCGAAAGCTAGTGATAAGTAAGTACAATTCAGAAACCCAGTATAAGTCATGTAATTCATAAGCGTTGTTTTAAAAGCGGGTTCTGTTTTTAAATAACTGTTACTCTAATAATTCGAACACGAGGAGCACGTTCATATATCCATTTTTATCTATCTTACACCCACAACGTTTCTCACATAAACCTCTGGTTTATGTTAAATCTACAGCGCGAAAGGATTAGACACGTAACGTCTGGTACATTAGTCTTCTCTAGAAGACATTTATAGCTTCGCAGGTTATATTAATATGAAACGCGGCTGTTAAATGTTCTTTATTTTATGGTAGAGGTCAAAGTTCACCTGTTATTTTATTATGAAAGAAAATTCGCGAAAACTACCTGAGATTAGTTGCTGCGTTTTGTAGGTAAATAGATCATAGTCTCTAAAAAGATCTGCTGTAGATCTTATCGTAAATACATGTACAGTCAGCTGCAAATATATGTACTCATTTACAAAACTTTAGAAACTTTCCTAGGCCTTCCATTTTATAAAATACTAGCTATTTCCGTGTGGCTTTATCCGCAATATTCCGAATTTCACGCATGGCATTTCTTTTCAAGTCATACAACCTCTAAATTAAATAGCGTGAGTGTATTCATTTTAAATGAATTACTTAAAAATATGCAGTGATAGCTGAGACATTACAAAGAGTGTGTTTACATTTTATTATATAAGTGTTGATGTATTCACTTATCCATCGATAGAATCATGAATCTAACATGAATTCATAGTGGGAAGCATAAAGACAGACACGCGAGTTAATGTTTTTGAAACCGAAAAAAATTAATGGTTACATATTTTTGCAGCTAACTGTACTATTCAGTTTAACACAAGCTAAAGAAGTTTAGAACTTATGTAGTAAATATAAGACATATTGATTATAGAATTATTAGTAAACATCTACTTATAATGTAGAATGAAGTCTTCTAGTGGGTACCGGCCAACTTGGCCGCACTCCAAGCAACTTGACGGGGTAGCTTAGATCCAAACGACGCCGGAAAACTAATGAGCCGACGTATTACATTAATTTGATTCCAGCACTTAGTTAATAAAAATAAATATTAAGGTCCTTTCCCACCAATGTCTGATAGAGGTTCAGATAGTGTAAAAATGGCGTCACGTTACATAAAATACAAACGTTGTGTCCCATCAGTTTCAATTACAAAATGGAAGATAACGCTGTGCCGTTTTAAAAATCTATGTTATTTCTATTAGTATGGGAATTTAGTATTGTTATATAATTATCATTAAATAATTTACTACGGATTTGATTTGAAACTAAATACTTAATTTGTATGTGCAATGCTCCGAGTTTTCAACGTATTATATTTCATACTTCAAAGACAGTTGGACTTTTTAAATAAATCGGATAAAAATACAACCTCAACTAAATTAATATAAATAATAATAATTTTGTCATTTAGAAGCGCTTTTATAGAATTTCACATTTATTTTTTATTTAACCTAAAAATAAGCAAGTTGGTTTTCATAATAGTATCGTTGCCGTGTATTCCCATTGGAGAAATAAAAATGTGTGAAATGATGAAAAAATCGTGTATTGTTTTTGGCGAAATGACAAAGAGTACATCAGGGATTTCTGCAGAACTGACTATCTATTTAATTTTATATAAAAGATGACATTGAGAAAACTAGAGTAGTTTACATTTGTTTAAGTTTTAATATTGCCTTCAATGAAAGAAAATTAATGAAAACGTCAAATAAAACTCAACAAAACTGAATGATTTTATAGAATTTCCTTTAGAACCATAAATCCTTTGAATTCTTTAATTGATACGGAGTTTAATTTAAAACAAATTTCTTTTTTACTTACCATTTTCTTCAATAAATCAAATCAAGTATCTGAAACAAAAAGTTAATACAAGTTACTTTTATGTCCAACTTACAGGAGACGAAACAGCATTATAACAAGGTATTAGATAGTTTTAAAAGCTTCTTTCTTTGTTAGAAGTTTAATTTATACTGATTCTTTAAACGCCTGTTATTTGGTATTTCGCAATATTTTCATTCGTTTTTTTGCTATTTAAAATTGGAAGTTATTTACCGGATATATTCCAATCTTTTGTTAACCCAGGCAACGCATTCCTTTCTACAGTACCGCATTGCGTACAGCTTGTGTTGTGGTGGGAAGCCAGTGAAATATATACGTTATCACCCTTTCCTCTTCTCTCGTTTAGAATGGTATGTCACCGATAGATTGTGAAGTCAGTTTTTTTAAAATTGAGCAAATAAGTTACACTGACCGAAAACACAAGCCTTTTTCTAGAAAGGCTTAACTATTACTGTTTTATACTATCTAAAACTAGCTTTTATCTGCGATTTCGTTCGCGTAAAATGAAAAATAAAATGTGTTACTCAGTGATAATGTAGCTATCTTATAGCAAAATTTTTTTTGGTTTTTGCCTAGTAGTTTTTGAATTTAATTATCACAAACAAAATCTGTCTTTGTAGTATTAGTATAATTTTTAAGAGAATGATCGCTTCACAATTTAATAATTTATATATAAACTATTGAGAAATGACGACGACATATCAATTAGTTGTCAATATTTTTTCAATCAGTTCTTAAAGAACATTCCGAGAGTCCGACCGTTTATCAACTGACCAAGTTTTAACATTGCCGACATTTGTTTTAACATTGACACAACCAACTGTACTTAGGCAGTATTGCTCTATATGGAACAAACGTGTTCTTCGTTCTTACAGCCAATTAGCCACGCATTACGTAACATTAGTAGGTTAATGTGAAATTTTCATAAAATCTTCACTAATATTATAAAGAGAAAAGATTTTTGTATGTATTGAAATAATTTAAAAACTACTGGGCTGATTTTATTTTTTTTTTCACCGTTAGAGAGGTAATTTATCTGTGAGTATATAGGCTTTATAATACATTTTTTTATTTCGCGGACGTAGTCGCGAGCAACAGCTATATTTTAATAAAAAATAAAAGCTATATTGTGTTTTAACAGAATATCAAAATGTAGATTGTTTTTGCAATATATGTGCGAGAAACTTTGTGACATTATGCCTGCTATACACATTCTGTTTTAAGAAAGTTTTGAACACCTTTTGTGTGTATCAGGCTTAATGTTTTATTAACTTTGAAAATCTAAAATCCCATTAATCGTCCCCGATAGCTTCTAATCGATCGCAATTTCCAACCTTACATGATTTATGGCGAATATATTTTTTTGTGCACGCAGATAATAAATTATGTTAGAACACGCGAACGTTATCTTTTCACTGCGTTCTTTAGTATTTACTCTCTATCAGAGCGTTTATGGTTTTTTCGACATCTACGAAATTCTGTATAGCATTTTGGCCTACATTTTTTATTGATGTCCAAAAAAGCTCGACTTCTACTTAATTTGAGTATATCTTCATTCGATCGCATAATTATGTTTATTA